GATAGGATTAGATATTCCTAAGGATATTGATCAAGCTATTCAAGATGTACAGTAAAAGAAAAAATTATTCGTTGAATAGATTTATTAATTTACATAGAATAATTATAAAAATAATTTTTTTTATTTTAGTTATTTAATAAAATTTTAAATGAATTTGTTACTACTTGGCATCACAATTTTAGCAAAGATGAAGCATTTGTTGTCGAATTACGAAGATGTTTGAGATATGCTTCGAGTATAATATTAAAAAAAGTATTGCAAGTAAGTGAATGTGTTATAAGAAGTTTAAAATGAAAATTTTCTTTAATGTGAAATATTACTAAATACTGCCAAATTTTTATCCTTGACTTAATTATTACAAATCGTTTTACATATAATATTTTAAAACCATAAAATAGCAATTTGTCTTAATATCTCTTTTTTTTGATTTTTATTAGATGGATTTAACTGATATCATACTTGATCACCTTGTAACAATTGGTTTTAGACATGTAAATGATTATAACAAAATATTAGAATTATCATTAAAAGAAAAAATTTCAATCGAATCAGCATCTGTTAAATATTTGGGTAAAAGGTTGCATTTTGCTGTTCGAAGCAGAGAAACAGAATTACAATATTTGAGATGTTTATCAGATTTATTGATAAATCATCTTCTACAAAAGTCACAATTAAATTGCTTGTAAGCTAATTTTACAATTTTCATTTAAAAAAAAAAAATTTATTTAATTAACGATTTCATTCGATATTTTTTACAGGAGTTTTAAAGTACTCATAAAAGAAATACTTGCAGGATGGGTTTTACTATCCCTTACTGATGTATTAAGCGATCCATATTATATTAATTCTCTTATATTGTTAGCTCTCAATCATGAGCCTCTTACAAATTATCCGGATAATTCCGATTCAAAAGTTCAATTTTTACAAAAATTTGTAGTTTACGATGAGGAAAATATAAATAAAAAATCCGTACGTGAAATACTAAAACGATAATAAAAAATAATAAAAAATTTTTTTCAATTGAAAATAATAATAATAATAATAATAATGATAAAATTTTATTGTTCAAGGTTTTACAGTCAAATTTATCGAGCATATTTAAAGATCAAAAGTTATTATATCAATTCATGCAATTTTTAAAAAGAGAAGGAGCCGTTCATTTGTTACAATTTTGTTTACACGTCGAAGATTTCAGTAAAAAAATTCTCAATCCGGAATTAAATGAATCCGAAAGAGAAAGTTTGTTTAACGAAGCCTGGGATTTGTATTCCGTTTATTTCAATGCCGATTCACCGGATAGTATACATTTTCCAAGCAATATTGTTGATCAAATGAAACAAAGTAAAGAGCGACAAAAACAAAAAAAAAAAAAAAAAGAAAATGAAATCACAAAACTACACATTTTTATTTATTTTATTTTTTTTTTAAAAAAAATAGTTTTAGATTCTGGACCGTCAAACATAGTCAAACTTGTTAATAATCCAGTTCTTTTCATGGCATACGAAGTTGCTTATTCGATTCTAGACGATAATTATTATCCACTTTTTTATTTGAGTGATGAATATTTTATTTTACTCTGCGGTGAAAAAAAACCCAAAAAATCACCCAAAGGAAATTACAGGTAAAATTAATAGTAAAAACAAAAAAAAAAAAAAAATTTTTAATTTCAATTTGTCAAATTACAAAATTAAAAATAATTAATTTTATTTATTAGCTCACCCGTTCAGCCTTCATCTCCCGTGAGAGGAAGGTAGGCTTTGATATATAAATTTAAATAATATGGCAAAAAAAAGGAAATTTTTTACTAAAAAAAAACCGTTACAAATTTTTCCATTTTTTTTTTTGTGTTTTCGATTTAGATACTTGAAGAAAAATGAAAAAACAGAAATGAGCGTCGTCGGTAAAATAAGTAATAAATTTAATAAACTTTTACAATTTCAACCGGCCGAAGGGAGGCCATGTTATAATGATTCTCCTCTCGTTTTGGGAGAAGCCGAATGCGTAAGTTTCTCCTGATAACTTTTTTTTTAAAAAAAAAGGATTTAAAATGGAAGAGTTTTATTTTTTGTTGGTTTAGGTTGAAGAATTAGATATTGAAAGTTTAAGTGAAAACGAACCGAGAGACATGAGTATGTGGAGAGTTAACATATCACATGTTACAACGAAACAAGATTCAAATTCTAAACCTTATCCGGTATTTAACGTAATAGTTTCTAATATCGATGTCAAAGGTGAAAAAAAGATATTTCGACAATTATTATTATTATTATTATTTTATTTTATTTTTTTAATAAAAAATTTGTTTTTATATATCGAAGACGGTAAAAGTCCAAAATCGAAATCGAAATGGACGGTCGAGAGAAGATTTAACGATTTTTATATACTTCAAGCAAAATTAGCGGAATTTCACGGGGAGTTCGAAGATGGAACACAATTGCCACCGAAATCTGGAATATTTTCTCCGAGGGAAATGATTTTCTCGAAAGTCGAAGACAAGTAATGGATTTCTATTATTTATTTTTCATTAATTTCCCCCCCCCCCCAAAATAATTGTACTATTTTTGTTTCAAACAGTTGTTCGAAGATTATTTGCAGAAATTGTTACACAAACCGAGTTTGAGGGGTAGCGATTTGCTTTATTTTTTTTTAAATAGCCCCGCGGAATTTTCCAGTTGTTTGTCGGCTCAAGACGGTATAGGAAGAATAATAAGAAAATCTGTCGAACCGATAAAATTGCGAAAAGAAAGGGGTCAACATTTGGAAAATTTTTTAACGGTTTTTTTATCGTCGACGGAAGGTTCTAAAAAATCAGGGTGAGTATGCTTACTTGAAAACGCTACCAAGTAATTTATTTATTATTATTATTAAATTTTTCCTCCCGAATTCAGGAAATACGAATGGCAAGATGTATCGGTTGTACCGCCTCGTAAAAAACGCGACACGACTCAAACAATTTTTAAAAATAATTTTAAAGAATTCTTAACAACAAAGACTGAAGAGGTACATTGCGGAGAACAACAAGTTTTAAATTTGGTCGGATCTTGGGATTGCATTTTTTACGTTTGTGAGTAAAAAAAAAAACCGAAAACAATCAAACTCTTTTCATCTTTTCTTAATTATTTAAAATATTATAAAATTATTAAATTTCAGTATCTAATTTAATGGGAGCGTCAAATAGATTTCTTCAAATCGTGATGGGTTTGAAAAAATTTTTAGGACAATCCGCGGATTCTGTAGTGAAAAAAATTTTACGAGATGAATTAAAACCTCTTCTCGTCTCGGCAAGGATCTCGCATTTAATACGGTTACTTCAAGGTACGTACGCGGGCATCCTGATTTAATTTTTTTTTCGGGCTTGAATCACTATAAAAATTTTTTTCGTCCCTATTTCGCGTTTCAGATGCCATATTCAGTTCGAAAAACAACGCGAAAAAATCAAACCAGGTCGTTTTGAGGGGTAAAATCACGGCGGAAATTGAAAAGTTGACAAATAATAATTTTTTACAAGAGTTTTTACCGAAATTCGGACAAGGAATGGAAAAAATGATCGATTCGATACAAAATCCAATACTTAATAAAAATTTATGTTATTATCTTTTAGATGAAATTGTGAGAATTTTATTTCCGGAAATAATTTTAACGGAAAATTACGAATAGAAAAATTTATATATATATATTTTTTTTTTTTTTTTTTTTAAAAGAAAATTTCGGACGAAATGTGTTTTTTTTTTTTTTTTTTTTACTTATTTATTTATTTATTTTGTTATTAAATTTTTGTAAACCTTTTTGCGAAAATGAGGGGGGGGTGAGAGGGGGTGATAGTAAAAAAATAAAAAAAATAATTTTTCATTTAGGAAAATAATTGAAAAATTATAAAAAAAAAAAAAAGAAAAAAAGAAAAAGAAAAAGAAAAAAAGAAAAAGAAAAAAAGAAAAAGAAAAAAAGAAAAAGAAAAAAAAGAAAAAGAAAAGAAAAGAAAAGAAAAGAAAAAGAAAATTTTTTTCGATAATATAATTCATTTATATTTGCAAATATATTTAATATTGCAAAATATCATTTGTTTTTATTTTTTTTTCATGTTTTTTTGCATTTGATATATATATATATTTATTTATATATTTATATATTTATTTATTTATTTATGTATTTATATATATATATATTCTGAATGTGGGAGATCTTTATTTAATAACGTTAGTATGCTATGTCATTTCCGTACCTGTTTTTTTTTCTAAATTTTCTTGATATAACGAATTGTTGTTTGATTCTACGTTTTCTACATTTTGCTCGCTCATTCCACTTTCGTTACTCGAACATTCAACGTCCAAAAAACTAAAAAAAAAAAAATTATTATTATTATTATTATTATTATTATTATTATTATTATTTTTATTATTATTATTATTATTATTATTATTATCGACTACGAATTTGTTTTTGTCGTGCGGTCAACGTGACCGACCGGGATTTATTTGAAATTATTTTTTATTATTTTTAATTTCCTTGTTTATTTTTAAGTGCAAATAAAAAAAATTTTTTTTTATTTATTAAATTTCATAATTTTTATTGCCAAAATGTTATGTAATTATTATGTAAATGATTGCGCAAAAAAAATAAACTCTTTTTATTTATTTATTATTAATATATAAAAATAAATAAATTAATTGAAAAAAAAAAAAATTTTTTTTAAATTTTTTTATTCATGTTTAAAATTTAAATTGTTTTTTTTTTAATTAATTAATTAATTAATTATTAAATTATTATTAATTTATGTATTTATGTATTTTTATACTCACGTGTATGGTTTTTCTTCTCCTCTCATTTCGCATATAACATTTGTTAACGCCATGATATAATTTTTAGCAAGTGTTAAAGTTTCTATTTTCGATAATTTTCTTTCCATTTTAACATGAGGTATAACCTCTCGTAATTGCTGTAATTATTTAATAAAATAAACAATTTTTCCTTTAGATTTACACGAATAATAATAATAATAATAAGTCAGGAAAATTTTTTTGGTACCTCGAAAGCATCGTTTAGGCTGTGCATTCTCATTCTTTCCCTCTCGTTACTTTCCAATCTTCTTAAATTTCTTTCTCTAGCCGATAAACCTGTTTTTCTTCTACGTCCGATTCCATTGCCGTGATTGTGTGATAGAAGCGAAGCTTTTCTTCTTTGTTTTATTTGTTTTACCGTCGACAGATCGCTTCCCGAACTGTCGTAACAGTCTGGAAAAATTAATTTTTTTTTATTATCAACATCATTATTATTATTATTATTATTATTTATAAATTAACTTCATTTATTTATTTTATTTTTTGTTAAATATTTTTTAATTGGTCAAGGTTTTCCTTTTTTTTTTGTAAAAAAAAAACTTTCAAATAATTTCTTCTTCTCTTCGAATTAAAAAAAAATAATAATAATTATCCATTGGATTATTCTCAGAAAATAAAAAATAATAATAATGAGAGAGAGAGAGAGAGATTAGAGCGTAATAAAAAAAAAAAAAAAACTTTTTCCTTATTTATAATAACGATGAAAAAAAAATGTATCGAATTTAGAACAACGATATTTTCATTTCATAAGATTTGGGCGTGGATTTTTTTTTTTTTA